GATAATCAGTGTTATTCACTTTATCTGTCAGTGCTCGTAGTGTTATGGCTGATCAGTGTACTGTACAAATGTATAATTTTATGACCCGTGTAAAGGCAGTGATTTGTCCTGAATGCATTTCAATCATGTTTATGAATTCCTCTGACAAATTACTGTAATACCTCAGTATTCTATACAAACTGCACCAAAGAATGTTCTTTCCCTCTGTAAATTAATTCCCAACGTGCCAAGCTGTAACATATATCTGATAGAACTGTTACATTTTGTTTGTTTGATAACGCTCATTAAAACATGACTACAACATGACTTGAGTTATTATTATTAATTTTATTTCCAAAAGATGGACAGAATTATTTGGCATTTTGTTTATTGCATACGTACAGTCCGGTAACTCACTCATCTTCGGTCAAGACATGGTTAGTTCTCTTAAATTACAGCAGAGTACGGTGGAATCCTTGTAGCTGTCAGAAACATCTGGCAAGCTCAATGTCCCAGATGCATCCATGTTTCTTGCCGTCTCACACACTCAACCCAATTGTTATAATGATGGATACTGACACATTCAAAACTCAATTTCATAGTTTGACTAGTGAACTGAATTCCACCATTTGACAGACAAAACTAACATAAGGTCTCTGCTAACAACTGACCTAAAGCGGAGGACAAATAAAACCCTAGATTCTGCATGTCCATCCATGGTGTTAATCCGAGGCACTTTTATCAAAAGTTGTTTCTTTTTCCATTTGAAGGTACAGTTGTGCAGCCGGCGGTCAGTCGTCAGGACCAAGCGGCCTCCTCACAGAGCAGGAGGCGGTGGGCATGTGTCTCGTCAATCCTTCCAATGACATGTTTTTAGTCCAACATGGTCTCAGAGAATGAGCCCTTGCTCTTCTGAGTCTGTTCCAGTCTGTTGAGGATGAACTGGCTGGTGTCAATGAATCGCTCCACACAGTTAACAAAGCACATTTCTGTCCTTGAATCCAGCTTGGGTCCGGGTTTATCCATACATTTCTCCTGGAGACAAGACACAGTCATTTAGAGGACTTAATGCAAGGTATTACAAGAGCTCATCTGTTGAAAGCGACACAAACAAGCTTTACAGCAAGTACTGCTGGTTGAAGTTGTTTTATTTGACATGTTCTACAGCAGCAGGCTGCGTCCTCATTGGTACTTTAATGATCTCACAGAAGTCTACTTTAATCCACTATATGATAATGTGTCCGTTAAAACAGGCCGGGCTAATGGTCATCACAGTTTCAGCGAAATATTATATTTAAACGTTAGTTCTGCAAACAATCTGAGAGTAAACACCTCTAGTATCCCGGAGACACTTGGAGATACATCATGTGGCTGAATAACAAGTAAAAAACAACCCACAAACTTAATGTGACCGAACAACGGAGTGGCATAAGGGTCACACACAGGGATAACGTGTGGCCTAATGTTTACATTCGCCCAGCATTATTTGATCACAGCAAATCAAACACGTAGCTGCAACTCCTTTTTCTCAATGTAAGGCAAACTAACCGTGCGTTATGTTTAAAAGGCAAACTGCAGAGCTAGCTCCACTGCTAGCTTTAGACGGCTCTTACCCAGCAGACCTCCGTCATTTGATGAACCAGCTGCTGAAATCTTTGTTTCTGAGATTCAATTTCGATGAACTGCTGAAGCTGAGGGTTGGCTGTCGCCCCCTGGCCCTCCATGTTGAACTAAAACGGGGTCGTAAAGCAGTATTTTCTCTAAATATGAAAGCCTTCTGGCTCTGTTGCTGACCTTCACGTGTATGTATCATCTGTGTGACAACGGGAATCAGGAAGTAGTTGGACCAATCACAGAGCGCGTTCTTCTGACGCCACTCTTCTTCTTCTTCCGTTTTTTTTTTTTGGCGGCGGGCACTTGTCGTCATAAATACGTAACAGACGTTTTCAATTAATGATGTATTATTTTAATTTAAACATTAAAAACAGTTAATATTTCATAAAATGAGAGTCACAGTCATGTTCGTTTCACACGATGTTTCAGTCAAAGCCTGGCATACTTGGCTTTTATTTGTGCAATAGATATGTTCTCACAGAGCTTGTTTCCACATGCGAAGGTGTCTACATTTCACAATGATTCCACATAATACAATACACAAAACACTACGGAAGCGTATTGCATTCATTTGAACTTCGGTTTTTCTGACTAATTTTTTTCCTGTTTTTCGGAGTAATTTTTTCAGAATTACTGAGATACTTCGAACTCCCGCGAGAACCTCCATCCTGGAGAAACATTGCTATGTCTAGCAGATCTGAATGGGCTTTCCTTCTGAACAACCGCAAAGTCCTCAGGTGCCTGCGTAGAGTCGACAAACTAATGATAATACCATCTGTATGACTTAAAGACAGGACTATCTCCCAGTGTCTTAAACCCAGATCAAAGTAAAACTGGATTGAACTAAACAAGCCGGTCAT